AATAGCCCCACAGTTTGGACTCCCGTGGTTCTGAATCTGATTTCTGATTTCACAAATGCAATATGAAATAGTGAAAACACAAAAAGAGTCCAAATCTGGCAATTCTTTTCGAAAATCGATGTTGAATCAAATGCTAAAAATGGACTCCTTTGCTAGATTACAGAGTTGCCACCTAAATATTTTTGAGAAGTTTAGGAAACCCAAGACTCGTGCCAAAGGTCATTAGTCCGTCATGAACAAAGTGTCTCTGCTCGGGAACGTAGGTACGAGAGAGGAAGGTCATGAATTGAGCACCCCACTCATCCGATCAAAGATCAGCCTCTACTAATCATGATGTAATTTTTATTTACATTATACGCTCTTGTTCCGATCTATTAGGCTAACTTACTATGTGATGCACACAAAGTATAAACTAATTTGCAAGAATTGGAACATTTGATTTCGTGTTTTATTTGAAATCGTTTTGTGAATTTTCCACTTGAAAAAGTGGACTTAAAATGGACATTTAATCAAACTATCCCAATTCAAGCAACTAGCCTTTATCCACGGGCATTCAAACAGTTATATCATTTAAGCAATTAGCCTCATGGAAGTATGCTTTGAGATAGTAACACAAACATTCGACGCAAAATAAAACATAAAATTACTCACCTAGTACTCCGAGCCAAAACAAAGCAAAATAATTTAAAAAATATGCATGTTCCTAATTAATGCAATATAATTAATGCAACGCACACATTATGTATTTTATAGGCTCGGCTATGAGCATGGCATATGATTTTATTCAAGACATGTGATAAAGCACATATTCAAGTAATGAATTTGAACATTAATATTGAATTAGTATGATGAGTCGAGCCTTGGATGCATACAAGTCAATGGATGCAAAGCAAAAGAATACTAACCATCATAAGCAAGTAAGTAAAAAGGAGAAAGACGTGGGGTTGGAAGACATACAACTTATTACATGATTGCCCTCGTGCAAGAGGGTGCGAATCAAAGTCCAAAAGTCCAAATTAAACTAATTATTACAAAACCGAATGAATAAATAAGCGAATAATTAACTAGCTGACTACTCTATTACAACAAGGATATCCATGATAAGTAAACTAACTATTTAAGCTAACTAGCTATAACAATTGCAAATAAACAATAGTAATAATTACAACACTAATAATTAACAAGACTAATTCTAACAACAATAATAAATTAATTAATTACAAAACAACACACGTAGCATTAATTGACAATAATGATGTAAGCAAGGATGCACTAGGGTTGCATGCACAATGTCCAAGAATAGCTTTGTCTGCCTAGGCTTGCTCTGTTTCACCTTCAGCCACTGCCCTCTATTTTCTGCAAAACACACTGCTGACCAAACATTGATGACGGGCGCGGCCCTCAATGAAGGCCAGTCGTGCCTCAATTTCATGCAAAATTCTATTTTGTGCTCTGAAGTGAAAACAGTGCAGACAGAGTGTTCTGAACTCTGTGAACTCTGTTTGTCCCTCTCACACTTTTTTGTCATGGGAAAGCCTCGAGAGAAGGTTGGAATTGTTTTCAAAACCATCAATGATCAAGTTGATTGCTTGATGATTTCGGGTACAATTTGGACAAAAATCAATAAATGCAATGAACAACAACCACCCCTCTCTCCTATCATAGAGTGAACTCAAAGAGGGAGGTAGAGACACTTCAAGATTCATCAAAACATCATGAATTGATGTAAGACAGCCCTTGACACAATGGATTCGGCATAACGTCCAGCCGAACCCAAGCAATATAACTCATTTTCTTTAGGTGGGTTGGTTCATTTTAAGCCAAATTCATTAGTCTTTACCATCCTTTAATCTATTAAGTCCAAGATGCTTGTTACGTTTACTAGAGATTTCATCTACGAAGTGAGAAATATGTCAAACAGGAGGTGCTTCTCTACATAAAAAAGAGACTACACCGTTGGTCATAGAGATCAAGCCATTAAGCATAAATCGCTAGTTCACGTTTTGAATAACCGTCAGCCGGTTGAAATAATTCTCAAATGAAAGAGATGGATGGCAAGTTGATTATTAAAATGAGGTTCTTAAACATGGAAGTTAGTTAAGGAAAAGCAAAGAACAATATACAGCAAGCTATGTAGGCAAACTTATGAGACAAAGCTAATCAAAGCATGAACTATTTAAACAACCTAGAACAACCCTAAAATAGCCCTTAAGAGATAAAAAATAGTAGCTCAAAGTGCATGAAAAGAGCCTAAAAAGCTAATCAACAAAGAGAGAAAACAAGGCTAGTAAACAAAAACAATGAGGGATGGCTAACCCCTCCACTTTGAAACCTCAAAGCATGATTTTTAGCTTCTTTTTAACTCTGAAAATCAATTTAGAAAGTAAAGAAAAAGAGTGTAAAAATAAGGGTTTGAGCTATAGGTAAAGGTGTAAGAAAGAGTGGTAACTCTCTCTACCCTTTGGTAGCTATCCAAATCCAAGATTAGACACTTAAAATAGGCTTAAGAAAACACAAAAACACAAGATATAGATAGCAAGAGATAGCAAAGAGAGCAAGATAAGAGATAGTAAGCTTATACCTCTCAAGAAGGTAAACTCTTGAGCTTTTGCTTATGAATCAAACTAAGTCTCAACACACTCTCAAGTTTGAATTATTGTGTTCAAGGCTCAACCAAGGTTCCTAGGCCTAGGTGTGAAGGTGTAGATGGTGTATGGATATAGAGTCAAGGTGATAGGCTTGTTCAAAGGGTTGCTTACACAAGAAGAATGAGAAGAAGGAGCTCCCAAGGTGTAGAGGCTTTTTGGAAATTCTTCAACCCTCAAAACAGAGATATATGGTCGTTTTTATAGAATTTGAGCAAGAGAGTTCATAAATATCTTCAAAAATGGACAGTTGGCGAGCTCCCACCCAGAACAGTGTTTCTCACTACTAAGGCATGGCTGGCCTTGAATAGCCACGGCCGGGCCTCAATGTGTTCCCCTATTTTTTGCTTCAGACTCAGCACGGGGTAGTACAATGTGTAAAAATGGATTTCTTGGGTATAATCAGTGAGATTATGGGAGGTTTGGTATTGTTACGAAGCTTTAAACATGGTCCCTTCATTGAGACCTTGAACCACGCACAACACCACTTTCATCATCGAGTGTACCAGGCAAAGCGCTTGAGCCTTGTGAGCGGTCAAAAATGGGGTGTCCACAACTACGAAAATATTCGAAACAAAGCATGGAAAGAAGGTTTCAAAAAAGAGTTTTGAACGAGATGTAAACAGCTGGGAAAAACTAGCTTAGGGTTGGAAATGAAGCACAAATTCCATATTTCTCACTGAGAATTCTGCAAAAAACACAGTCTTATTTTTATTATCGGGTAATCAAAAGAAAGCGACCAAGTCTTAGGGCCAGTCAAAATGGGCTGTCTACACTAACAGTGAAAATTCCAACTAAATATCCACCGCCCAAATCCTAATGTCATCACAAACCACTTCAAGTAAGGATGCCATAACATTGACATGACTGTGCAACTCCTCTTTTGACTCAAAGATTAACAAGAGCAGATTACCTCCACCAAATCGAAGATGAACCTTATGATATCTATTGTCCATCAATAACTTTTATAACTCCCCCAGCATACTCATACATTTGATTCTAAGTACCAAGCTTCTCCGTACCCATTCACAACCTTCATCCAATACCACAATCTAAATCATGTCTGTAATAATGTCATTATCACCTTTCACAACATCTGTGTACGTCCTTGGCACCTTACTAGGACCTGCCCCTTGGCCATTATCTGAGACTGCATTTGAATCAATGATTTGCTTGTCCTTTCTTAAATCAGATATTCCTCCAACCACCTGGGCCTACGAAATGATGACTCCCTGTGCTGTATCCCGCCTCTTTCCATTATCAGTCTGTATACTTAACTTTAAGGACTTTATCACTACACCATACCCCATTCGTTTTCTGAATCGCCACCCCTGCTGCAATCTCACAATTGTACCTAACAAATCCGAACCTTGTTCCCACTTTGCTTTTCTTAGATGGGATGAAAACATGAATAACCAAGCCGAACTTGGAAAACATATTGAATAGCTTCTTTGGGTCCATATCAAATGGAAGGCTGTCAACAAAGATAGTGATAAGGTTCGCCGCACTACTAGCCTTTTGGTTAAAAGTACGTCTTCGATGGAAAACCGGTTGCCATCCTCCTCCTCTCTCTCTCTCTCTCTCTCCCCGTCCTACTACTTAAGCTCGGCTCAAGAAATAAAACCCTTATTAAAGGCTAAACAAAACAAAAGCATAATTGACGGATAACCCCAAAGAGTAAAGCAAATAGTAAACCACCAAATAATCTTAATTATTAAAATAGATATGCAAGAAAAATGAATGTTGAAAAAAATTAATATTTAAACATACAAAAATTATTAAATATTTATTAAGGCCCAAAATATATTAGAGGTAATTATCACTATAATGTGCTCCAATTTTTAATGAGAAATTTATCACTATAAAAAGATCTTAAGAAAATATAATTCAAACAAACACAAATAAACTAAATAGTTCACCCAAAAAAAAAACACCAAAATGTCTTATTTATCACTTTGGTAAATTCAAAATTATCCACTACTATTGCTTTTTCATATCACCGGATTATTTATTGCCTCCTTTGTTTGCTCTCAGTATTATTACCATTACCAAATGTTAATTCATAACACAACATACATGTTTTAAGTTCTAAAATTTTCTCATTATCAAAATGAGACACAAATACATAAAATTAAAAATATATATATATTAAACACTTAAAAATAAATTAGCCCAATCGACGAGAGGCACTGATAATTATCACTAAGTGTGAGGGAAAAATATACAATAAAAATTTGCCTATGTATACAAAGGATTGCACCATAAAAAATGACAATTGCTCTAACAACATCCCAACATCAACTCATATAGAAATCTTATTCAGAATGATTTCAAAACAAGAAGATCAACTAATAATCTGCATCAACTCATATTACTATTGACTAATGATTTTATAGTAACATATTTGAAATTGTAACTAATAAGTAATGAGTCATTTGTTTAAAGAGAAGATCCCAACAAGTCAAGTCATTTTGTATAAACACACATAAAATTAATTCTCTATAACCAAAAAATTCCTTTAATTCAATTCCTACCAATGAAACTCTTTTCTCTATGAAACTATTGCAAGCCAAACAATTTGTTGAAGCCACAAAAAATACAACATATGCCTGCTTTCAAATCCTGCATAGTAATTGTGTTTTTTTCATCACTTTCACTTTCACCAGCCCCATCTTTAACTCTATCTTCTAAATGATTCTTGGCTGCAACCAGGATTGGATCAACCAAATATGCATTCATCTTCCCCCGAAGTTTCTCAGAGGTCTGCTCTGCAATTAGCTTACCAACCATATCAACAGAGCAAGGTGGGTGCAACTTCAATCCGCGCATTGGATTGTCCTCTTCTGATCGATCATTGTTCATCTTTGCCTTCAGTATCATGGCAAGCTCTTCACAAGTCAAATCATTGAATTGCAATGATATAGAAAACCTCTTGTGTAACTCTTTGTTTGACCACATGCATCGGTTTATTTCTTTTTGCTGTCCTGTAAATATTACTGCAGTTTCACCTTCATCCATTGCTAATACAATCTCTTCTAGAACCTCATGTTTAAGTTTGTCTTCGCATACATTGACAAGCAAGATTCCTCCTTTTGCATCTTCAATCTGTTAACAATGCTTTGTTAGTTATGGTTTGATCATATGTACCATTTGTTGTATACATAGCAAGCAATAGGTATTGAGAATCAAGTGTTGCGGTCATGAATTTCCCAAATGAAAAAAAAAAAAAAAACCTTTATATCTAACAAAATCAAAAAAATATGAAGTGATATGTATTGGGAATAATTACGGCCGTCATCAATATTTTTAAATCATCAAACGTAAAAAATAGCTATATAGCCGTCAAACCGGCTATATGGCTGTGAACTTCGCAATATGTAATGTTCATATGTAATCATATTGGGAACCGGCTGATCTATATGTAATGTTCATTCCAACCGACATTGAAATGTATCTATATCGCAATGACAAAAGTTTTAAATATATCAGCTGACATTAATTATATATTAACAGGGATTGTGTGTAATCATATTGAGATAACAGTGGGGAAAATTTGTGAAATTTATCCAATACCAAATATCATTTAAAAAAGGATAAATTATACTTTTAAACCTTATAGTTTGACTAAAATTTCAATTTGGTTCCTATTGTTTCAAACTGAACAATTTAGTCTATAATTTAAGCCTAGTTTTAATTTAGTCTTTTTATTCAAGTCAGAAATAAAATTAATGATTTTGAAACATTTGTCAATTTTCGTAGAAAAAATTAATAAAAATTTTGATGGAATGACAAAATTGAAACTAACTAAAGTATAAGAATTAAATTATTCAAATTGAAACAATAACGATCAAAGTGAAACATAAAAATTATAATTTAAAAAAAAAATGACATACACATTGGCTTGAATTACTTGATCCCTGCAACTCAATAACATGATAGGAAGGTAAGGATTCTGCCAAATAAAAGAGCTGTGCAACAATTCGAGCCACTGTTGATTTTCCTGTTGAATGTAATACAAAACTTTTCTTAGATTATTGTAATTAAAAAGCAATGCCATACATAGGCATGATATTGAAAATATATATATATATATATTCAAAATTTAATCTTTCTAACAAAATAAATTCTAAATTTTTTATTTTATCAATTTAAATCTTAATATTTTAATTTATTTTTAATTATAAAAAATAATATTTTAATCATTAAACTTAATGTAGGCGTAGATAGAATATTTAAAATACAATTTTAATGTAGGCGTAGATAGAATATTTAAAATACAATTTTCGTTGGGTTTATGGACACGGACACATGACACGATACAGATATGACATGAACACTTTGACACGTCAATTTTTAAAAAATGTAAGATACGACACATGAGGAACACGAATAAAATATATAATTTTATATATTTATTATATGTTATATATATATGAATATATCATTTAAAGATAATAAAAAAAATGCAATACGACACTAATTCCTATAAGTTTATATAATTTGTATTGCATTATTGTATCTTAAGTTGTTTTGTTCAAATTTATAATTAGTTTTATCTGTATTTAATCGATAGACACTTGTGTTTAAGCAATAGACACGTGTGTCCTCCAAGTGTCTAAAGAGACACTACAACAAATAGCACTTTTGGCAACTAAATTTTTAGTCGGCAAAAGTTTTTAGCAACTAAAAGTTTTGGTCGCTAGGTTAGTCAATGAACAATTGTCAGGTAAGGTTATTGGCGGCTAAAAAAAGTTTAGTCACCAAAGTATTCAATTGCTGACCATTTTTTTAGTCACCAAAAACATGAAAGTAAAATTAAATATAACATTTTTAGGGACTAAAACTTCTTGTCACCAAAACTTTCAATTATTTTTAACGACTAAAATTTTGGTCGCCAAATAATTTTTTTATTTCATGTTATTGTGTTTTAGCTACTAAATATTTTAGTCGCCTAATGTTCGATTTCTTTCGCTACTAAACTTTTAGTCCCCTAAAGTCTAATTTGTTTTTGCCTACTAAACCTTTAGTCGCCAAAAATGTAAATGTAGGCTATACAAACACTACTATTGCCATTTCACCAAAATTTCGTCCGCAGGATCGGTACCCATGTAAACGCGCGATTTTTAGGACTTTCACCTTGGAGGCCAACTTATTTCAACGAGCCAACACTTACTTCCCAGATTCACCTCTTTTTCTCAAACAATGCACATTTTCAATGTAGTAAATATGCAACAATGCTCAATGCCATGGATGAGAAAATAGTTTCAATTCTAATAATTCTCATGCAATTTTTAGAACAATCATAGTTATCCTCCACTGATAGCCCAAAACAGATATTTCTAAACAGATAATTAATTTTCATAAAGATAAACTTTCCAAATTCCAAGGAGTGAGTGGTGATACATACCCAACTCCACCATCCTTATCAATATCAACCCAATTTCACATTTCCAACATCAATTCCAATTATTTATACAAAATCAACATTTGAGATATTTAAGGCAAAAACCCCATTTTCTTCCTAAATTAATTCCAAGTATCAAAACCAACCACTTTATCACAACTCAACCTCATTTCTAATCCCACAACCATTTTCAAGAATCCATTTGAAAACCTCTCTTCTGATTTTTAACCAAAAATCCTAGATTTGTCCAAAAATTCCCAAATCACAATATTGTTTTAGAAATAGCAAATAACTAAGTTAAAAATTATAAGAAAGTGCGAAGAACCCCTACCTCAAGCTTAGAAGACAAGAGAGAATGGAGAGACTTCAAAAACGCCGAAACACAACTTTGTTCTAATTAGAATGAAACTTTAGATGAGCTCTAACTTTTTAACAAAGAGACTAGGGTTGAGCAATCAATGGATGAGGGTGTATTTGTAGAGAGAGTGTGAGTTTTAGAGAGAGAAGCTCTAGATCTAGGGTTTTTAGAATGTTTAGGGAGAGAGAGGTATGAAAAAGTGATCTAAAAGTGACTTTTACAGACTGAAATACGCATAGACCGCTTGAACGAAGGAAGTGTCGCTCAAGTGACCAGACACAATAAGTGATACCGCTCGAGCAAAGAATACGAACTCCCAGAAGTTTTGCAGACAGAAGACCATTGCTTGAGTTCAAGAAAGACCGCTCGAGCACAAGAATTACCGCTCGAGCGTAGAATGCCAACTCCCAGTATCTTTGCAGGCCTGCAAAAAGTATTGAGAGTCCTCAAAGACAGCTCGAGCACAAGAACTGTCACTTGAGCGAAGAAGTCAAAATCTGGACAGGAACCATCTTGAAAAACTAACTCCCGACCTGTTCCAAACGCAACCATGACACTCCCATAACCAAACTCAATGAAGAATAAGGAGAAATAAGACATGAACAATTGTATAAGACAATAAAACTTTGATCCAGAACATCAAATGGGTCAGGTCTAAACCAGAATCGCTATACTTCATATCTATATATGAGGCTGCATAAGAGGGGCTAAAGCTCTCCAACCGTTGTTGTTTGAAATCATCCATAAGGGGTTTCAATAACAAGGGGGTGTTTAGATTTTGTTGGGGAGTTGAAGAGTGCAAGACATATATAACTTGGGAGTCCTAGAATCTGATTTTGCAATGTGAGGTTGAGGAATTAAACAAGGGGACACATATGGAGGTAATTCTATGATGTGGTAGTACTTTTCAAGTGGAATTACTAAAGATATATATCTATGGTATGGGCAATGTTTGTTTATGGGATTATGGGATGTAGTCCAAAATAAAGTTGAGGAATGTGGGGTATAAGATAAGGGAGTTTTCCCGACAAGGAACCTACGAAAGCCCTTGACATCCAACCGTGACATCCGTACAGTGCTTCGGGGGCTGTTTTGCATTTATGCCTGAAAGCTCTTTTTCGACTAAGTTTAAGGTGTTTTCGGCTCTAACTCTCAAACTACAAGTGCTAATTACATGTCGTCTGTGGCAACAGGTCCTATATGTCACGAGGATGCTGCCCATGACATCCATATATTAGTTGCATCTTCACCTCCCAAAAGCCCTTTTTCAACTAAGTTTAAGGCATTTTCGGCTCTAACTCTCAAACTACGCGTGCGAATTACATGCCGTATGTGGCCACAGGTCCTATTTGTCCTATTCTCTATTTTATAAGCTTTTTCTAAAGTGTAGGCCAAATCCTATTAGTGAACTTAGGATCAACATCATACTAAAATGAATATATGAGCACTAAATAAATCTTCTATCATATAGGTGCCAATGTGAATTAGTATTATCGCTTACTTTTTATGTCACAACATAATTAAAAGAAAATGATGAAGTGCTAAAATAAGAGAGAAAGAAAAACATGAATAGGGAATTTCATTACAACAAATAATAAGTCATAGTTATCAAATCGATCTAATTTTGTTTTAAATAATATACACAATTTTTTATATAATAATATCCAAATTATAAAACCAGACTCATAATAGACCGGCCATACAAAGGTCAAAAATTTTCTTAAATTCATATTTGAATTCCAAAGACATAAGTCTAGAACGGAAGACTAAAACAACTGTATTTCCTCATGTGTGAGTATGACTACTACCTCTCTTCTAACTCAAAAAGGAAATAAATGGCAATAATGCTTCCAACATTGATTAAGCAGTTAAAAAGGAGATGTTAACTTCCCGAGAACAATACATAGTAAGAAATCTCTATGTTGAAAAGGAGCAAACATGGTTATTGGTCCAAATTAAATGATCCAAAAAACATTCATTTCCAGTAATAAATGACAACAAACTTTACACCCTTTTAATCCCAGAAACACCTTTAATCTCTCAACCCTCTCTTTCTCTCTCTCTCTCTTTGCATTCCATTAGGAGTTTCTTCACTCCTCTCTCTTCCATCTACACATTAAGATTCAAGTAAGTTCTATTCTCTCTTCTTTTTGTTGGTTAATTTGTTTTTCGTATGATTCTTGTTGATGTTAAGTGAAAATGCATTTCTTTGAAAGTAGAATTATGATCCAATTAAATAGAGAAAGCAAATATAAATTGGTAGACCTCTATACATGAATGTGACTCAAGGTTTGTTTTCAATTTATTTATTTTTTTATTTTATTTGTTTTTTGGTTTTGTTTTTTTTTTTAAGTGAACATTTAAGTTTTATCTAACCCACTTGAAGATAATCAGAAGATACCACCGCATTTGCATTTATAATCTGCTCTTTTCATGACAATTATCGAAAATCCACCCAAGTGGAAAATGTAGGTATGATCCATTCAATTATTTTCGGCAATTTCACCCCACTGTACTTCACATACCCATCGCTTGCCGCCTTCAGAATCCAACCAAGTGAAGTAGTTCTGATCACTTGCCGCCTTGAGAATCCAAATGTAGACATGGTCAATGGGACTGTCAAAGCAGAGCTCAAGAATTTTGTGAATGAACCATATGACTCTTACACTTTGAATATATTATTATACTTGTACAACCAACCAGTTTCCTGATGGTGTTTATTCTTTTCAGGTATGAAATGAGATTGAACATGAAAACTGGTCTGGCTTCACAGAGGAAATTATCAGCACTTGCTGTAGATTTTCCAAGGGTGAATGAGAGTTACATTGGAAGGTATCCAGTAATATTTTAGTCATTATAATTTAGCAGATTCCAAGGGTGAATGAGAGTTACATTGGAAGGTATCCAGTAATATTTTAGTCATTATAATTTAGCAGATTTGGGGTTAAATTGTGTCTGGGAAGATACACTGGTGATGCAAATAAACCATGTTAGTAATGCATGTGAACAAGCTGTGTGCTGGATTGTTAGAAGCTTGTCTGCTGTTTGCATCATCTTCCGTAAACATTAGTTTACTTTTTTTTTTTTTTTTTTTGCTAGAAACTTTTCTTTCAGTAATTCATGTGTAAAGACAATCATGTTCAGAATGTGTTTTCTTGTATGTTAGTCATTATAATTTAGCAGATTCGGGGTTAAATTGTGTCTGGGAAGATACACTGGTGATGCAAATAAACCATGT